CTGGGGACCCCCTATTGTTCCTCTTTTGTTTGTACTTTAACTTTTTTACAAGACCACCCATATGTTTTGTTCACAGTTGTCAATCGGGGACCCTCTGTCAATCGGGGACCTTATTGTCCGCTATTGTTCAGGGTCCCCGATTGAATGCAGAAACAAACTCTGCCCAACTTGTGCTCCACAAAAAAAATAATGCATTTGCCCTTCCAGCAGTGGCGTAGCTTTTATTAGCGGGGGGGGCACAAGGGGACACCGTCATCTAATGGGGGACCAGCTTTCAGTGGTGAGGGTTTTTTGGGGGGAGGAGGCAAGCTTTTGTTAGTCCTGTTCAATATCCATTCATCCATTTCTAGTGGGGAGCACTTGGGGGACACCAGGAATTTGTGGAGGGGGAGGGAACACTTGCCACCCCTCCCCCGTGGCTACGCCCCTGCCTTCCAAGCTCCCTGTAAGGGCTTCGGGAACGAGCGAAGACACGAAAGAGGTCCGTTTACAAAGTTATGGGGAAACGTGACTCTTTAGAAAATATGAGTATTTTGTTTTCTATTCTCTCTAGGGGCGCAGTTTGTTCTTTCGTCCAGTCACGCCGGTACGTTGAAGGCTGTGGAATTTGGAGATTGGATGCCTGCAACAAACACAGGTTAATTATGTAACTCTTAATTTACAGCTAAATTTGGCAGCCATTGAACACCCAAGAACTACCTTGTTTTCGTTTGTGCATTAGGTGAAGCTTGTATAACAGTAGGGAAAATTGATAAGGAGACACTCAAGGTACCACTGTGTAAATATACGTGCGTTCATCAATGGAACGTCCAAATCTATGCAGTTTCGAGGAGCAAAAAAATTTGGAAGAGAGCCAAAATTTCTTAAATTCTGTAGTCTTCATTGGATGTTAAGACGAGGTGAGATATCGAGCGACAAAGGAAACATGAATAGCCTCAAAGGCCGTTATTTGCTCTTGCCTTCGATGTCATGACCCGTTTCCCCAAGACCACCAATTCTTCGGTCTCTGTTCATTTTAGTGTCAACACTATGCAGCCCCAGTTCCTTCTTTTTAAGATAAAGCAATGTCCTTTCCTCATTTTAGACTCCAAAAGTCTACTAACAGTTGAAACAAATCCGTTTATAACCTGAACTCAATTTGAAACAGCCATACGTGGAAGTGCATATGGGTTTTAAAACTCCTCTGTGACAATCTGTTGAAACAAATCTTCTAGTAAGACGATTTCTACTTTAAGTTTATTTTCTTGAATCAGGAACTCGATCAGTTATCGGTGCTGCCCGGGATGGAGTGGGGAAGTCAGCGCTGGCTGCCCTATAAGTGAGTTCATGCACTTTTGAATGAAACTGATTTTTTTTAATATGATGCTGGCTGGCTGCCTCCGTTCAAGTGGCGTAAATTCGTGGACGGACAGGTCTCCTCACCATCCTGGGACAATTCACCAGACATAATGTTCATCAAAAATCTGAACCAGGCCTTTAAATATGTATGTTAATGCACTCCCTGGAATAGTTGCAGCATGAAGTGGCATGGTCTTCGGTAACACATGCTTTTCTTCTGGTTTGTTCATAACGTTACCTTTATCTGGTATTGATCCACTGAGCGACCTAATAGGTGTGCGCCGGATATTTGAGAATGACGTAAAGGACGCCCAACCAATCATTTTCCCTAGAGCGCAAGTGGGCGCTGAGCGGATTTTCTTTCTTTCTTTCAAAAAGTTGGCGAAGCGTTTGACAGTATTGTTTTACCCGCCAACGGGGTTGCATGTGCACGGACGAACCAAGAGCTCAACAAATAGCTCACCTTCAAAATGACATTCGTTACGATTATCTTTTATCCACTACTGTTGCAGAGCTACCGGACCCTGAGCCTGAGAGTGCCGACCCTTAAGTGGAGAGACCAGACGATGGCTTCCCTCGACCTGTGTGAGATCAACGTTGAGTCTCCTGCCTGCCAACCCTTAAAATAAACAACGCCCTGGTACTGAAATTTGTATTTAGTTCATCCGTGACAGTCAACATTTTCATGAGAAAACAGACACAGGGTAAAGACCGACACAAGTTTTTGAAATTTTGTAGGAAGGCTGAACAATACTAGACTTTCTATTCAGTATGGATGGATAACGTGCTTTAACTAAACATGCCTCGCAAACCCTGGCGTACTCTGAATCATTCTGAGTCGACAAGCACGATACGCCATGCAGGCTTGGCTATTCAGGGGCAACTTTTGTAATGCTGGAGGTGAGGGTAAAATGAAACTTTGCCTACACATCTTTTGTGCTTTTGCAAATACTTTCTCAAAATTGCCATCTGAATTAAGGGCAAGTTACCGTACTTCGCCCCGAAAGAGACTAATGACAAACGAATATCATTTTGGATTATGGATTGTTATGAACAAATAATGATAGGAACTTCAAACTGATGAGTGGTTTCAACCGCCTTAACTTTAGGGTGAGCGGTACCAGGATTTTCTGCCGTTGCATTAAGGTTGACTTATGAGTATAAGCGAAAAAAACTTTGACTTCGGACTTATTTACTCAGAAATACCTATCTTTTATCATCTGCAAATCATACAAACCAGAGTGAAAACAGTGGGCGCCATTTTTTTTTCAAAAATTTCCGGGAAATTACAAGTTTGTTTAAGTTGCTTCTACTTTTACAGCATGTGTTTTGTAATTGACGCTCCTGAATTTAATGTGTATTACTGTTCAAAATTAACGACACCCCTGAATATTGCACTTGTGCTGAGTCACAAGCGCCAATTTTTGCCTCCTCCCATTTTGACAGTTATGAAATAAAACGTGGGCTTTGAAGTAGCACTTGTTGCCGACCAGGAGAGAACGTTTGCAACCTTTGGCCGCCACTGCAAAAGGGCGGTCAGTGTTTGTAAACAAAAGAAAAATGTTTATATGTGACAGTGGGGTCGGGAGAGGATTGGAGAATTTGTGACGTCAAAGAACCTAAATGTCAAGTTTAAAACTACCCTTTTTGAATGGAAAGACACCTGGAAAGTGCAGAATAAAGAATACCAGTGTTGAACAAAACATATATTGCGGACTTTGGAACTATACTTTTCAACCGTAGTGGCGTATCCACATCTCGACATGAATCTTCAACCCACTGCTCAAGATCAGGCGGCAGTACCGTTTGAAAATGAAGGTGCTTTCAATATTAAAGCCATTTCCGAGTTAAATTTGAATAAAATCTGGTGCACTGAGTTATCTGACTGCATATAACCATAACAATTTGAATTCTCCAGACTAAAGACAGTGTTGCTATACCTCATGATTCGGGACAAGCTTCCGCATGGCGACCACCATCTCCGGAATGGACTGGTTCCTATGTGCCCTTCTTATCCATTGAGAATATGTGTATTGTTGGAAGGCATCTGTTAATGTGAGCAAAAGCTTGCCCCAGTTCACGAGGTATAACAACAGTGGTTTTAGTAAGGAGGATTCAAGTTGTTATTTTCACGTGAACTTAAAGAACTCAGTGAACCAGATTTGTGTAAAAGTTAACTCGCAAAAGGCTTATTGAAATCGCACAATCAACTTTCTGCAAATGGAGAGTATGGCGTTTGGAATAGGTAGGTATGCATGCACCTCGCGTATGTTTCCTTCCTCAACTTAATTTTTCTTATTGTTCAGGATTGTACACTGGAGCGCCAGTGAGCTTTTGTGATGGAAACGAGACTTTTGTCTAATCAGTACAGTAGTCTTTTTCGAGCAGTGAAAATTTGTTTATTTCCTCTCTGCGTGCAAAACAAATCATGATATTCTTGCAATCGGGGTTTTCACAAGAATGTGAAACACATAACAAGCGTTGAACTAAAGGCCAACCTGATGGTTATTAGCTGCCAAAGGGTTTATTAACTTAAAAATCAGGTTCGCTGTGATTTTAGTCTTTCACAGAAATACATTGCTCAACCGAAAATCCAGTTGATTTTCGAATAGTGTAGAATTTAGCGGGGTTTAATGGTGTCGATAAAAATCGCTTCTAGTGACGTTGTTGCATGAAATGGCTCCATGTCTCTTTAAAAAATCTTTTGCACTTTTTGCTCCATTGCAAATTTAAATGTGGGGTATATCTTCAGGTAAGCCCTTACAAAAATATTTTAAACGGTTTATGTTGCCCTGTATGTTGGCAACATGCACTGCTGCGTCTCCATGTGAGACTACGGCATGCACAAGTATCGAACACTGGCTAAGGCTCTCCACTGCTGCCTCTTTTGACCAAAATTAAGCCAGGACCGCATTATTGCTACCCCTGTAATGCGCCGCCCCACGCAAACCATATATTGACTAAATTTATAACTAGCTTTATTGTAGGAATGCTTCCTCAATTGTCTTTCGTGGGTCACCCAGCCGTAAAGGGGTCCTTATTGTGCAAAAGGCTTCCCAAAGCAACGGTAGAGATCTGTCAAGTCATAAGGAGTCGGGAGTAAATTTGTGTTCAACCACTTGAGCAGTGAATCGTTTTGAAGAGATTTTGGCGCCTTTACCTTCAGCGAACAGTGCATCCCTCCCACAAGCAATTTGTCGGAGCTGGAGAGTTGAAGTCTGGAACGATAGGTATGTTTAAGCCCACGTTTAAAGGTTAACAGAAATTTAAAAAAACATTTAGTTTACGTGAAGTATTTTAGAATAACAATAAATACTTAACCATTTCAAAAAATCGTAAATGCAATTTTTACCCCATTAATCGTGACCCAAACATGATTTTTAAAAATCCCGCGTTTCCCCGCCCACATAAAAATCCCCTTTTGGCCGTTCGCGCTCCCAGGCTGCTTTGATAACGTCATCGGCCGAACGCCTGTTATACCCATGTAGTTTACTTTCACAGAATTTCATTTGTGGCTTGGTATCCAGCGTTGTATTAACACTAATCTTTTTTTTTAAGGTTTTTTTTTGGTACGGTTGCGTGAAGGCTTGGAAATTTACTGTCACCGCGCATTTTGTATGGAGACGGAAACAGACGGCTGGCATTGGCGGCAGAAACTATCTACGCTCTAGCAAAAGGTTACATGACGAGGTGACATGAATGTGGCTATTGTGATTCGAACCGGGGCTTTGAGTTCGTAGACAAAGACAGTACATTACTTGGAAATTTACTGTTATATATACGAAGCCTTTTGCATGAAGACGGAAATAGCGAAATTGGCGCCAACCGTCTGCACTCTGTGTCGCTTTAGATTGTCTGACGGAGTAACATAAAAATACATTTTGCTTTACTGTATAGGAATGTTTCCTTGATTATGTTTGTAGGTCACCCACCCGTGAAGGGGTCCTTATCATGCAAATGGTGTGAACGCACGAAAGGCTCCTTAAAGCAACAGTAGAAGTCTGACACGTCATTGCGAGTTGGGAGTGAATGCGGTCTCAATCGCTCGAGCCTAGCAGTGAATCGGTTTGAAGAGATATTGGCGCCTTTACCATCGGCGAACGGTGCATCCCTCCCACAAGCAACTTTTCGGAGCTGGAGAGTTGAAGTCCGGAATCGTGAGGTATGTTTTACTTTCTTATTGACACTTAAGCTTTTTCGGAACACTGGCTGGTGAACATCTAATTTGCGTGTTAAGGGTGTCGGTTTTTTCTCATTTGGTTCTCTCCTGAACTCCTGATGTTTGAAATATTCCTAGCCCGACCATCCTATTATACTCATGCAGTTTACTTTCATAGAACCGATTCGAGGCTTGGTATCCAACTCTGTGTCAACACTGGTCTATATCAGTAAAACATGTCTTCTTTAACGGGCATTTTTTTCGCACAGTTACATGGAGTCCTGGAAATTTACTGTTATCTTGCCTTTTGAATGAAGAGGAAATATATGACTGGCAGTGGCGGCAGAAACTGGCTACCCTCCATATAGCGAAAGGTTACACGACGGGGTGGCATGAGTATGGTTACTGCGACTTGGACCGGGGCTTCGAGCCCGTAGACAAAGACAAGTGCATTTCGCCCAGGGCACATGCCCGTATCCCGCTCAGTTATGTTGCCTACAGTTTCTGTATTTGCCTAAATTTCTGTACATGATAAAGTTTGTACATTTAACTTGTTTGGAAATTGTTTCATTTGTCACTGTGAATGCAGAACGTTTCCTTTTGCATAATTATTGTCCTCATGTGCTGAATTTGACATATCCAAAAGCATATAGTCTCTTTCCATCAGTTCATTTTCAAAAGAGTGAAAGCCTTTTCCAATGAATACAAAAAAGTACAAGGCATAATATCCAACGAGCATGGCTACAGAGAAAGTACTCGACCATGATTAACTTTTTAATTTTCAAGTTTTCAAATTATTTTGTAATTTGGAATTTGAAACAGAACTAGCCCCAGAGGTTCTCCATGTGTGGACTTACCTTCATAGAGTGTAGCGAGTAAGCGTGAATGTCATCATAATTTTCCCATATTTTAAGACAAGATTATTTCATTTGGAGCGCCTGCCTTTTGTAAAGTACAGCTTGTGCTCAAATACAAGAATCTTTAACTAAATTAACGAAGAAAGCGTGAGCGCAAATTCTACAATATCGCCTTTGCGGCAAGAAAAAATGCAACAATTACTGTTTAAAAAATTGGGCATATTTTGACCCCCGTTTGCCCTAAATTGGTGTAAATATCAAGTTCCAACATCTGGTCACAAGGTGTCCAACTGTTGGGTAAATCCGTCTGAAAATTGCCAGCATTATATTAAAGTGACCAATATCTAGATAATTTAGCCTTGTCCTCTCCCCCCCCCTTTTTAGAGCGTAGTGATTTTATACAACGCTATAGCAGTTTTCCCAACACTATTCAAGTGCCACACTGAAAATGAAAATGACACCATAGAACATTAATTATCACGTTTTTCCCTTAGCCATACAGGATAGGTTACTGACAATGGGAAATTCATGAGGGTAATTCCAGAAATTAGGGGTCCAAAAGTGTGACATTTTGGTGTCCCAGTTACACCTTACCCTTTGATTTGGCATGGAATATCACCAGAATTTATTTCAAACTATTACTATTTGTTTGGCTGGTAATTTACAATAATTCATCACTCTTCGAAATTAGAAAATGTGTCCTGGACTGACAAAATCGTATCTCAGATGTAACAGGGACTCGAAAAAACGAACATTTAATTTCTGGAATTACCCATGATCGTCATTGAATTGTCAGGTTCTCGCTGAAAACGGTATAACTTCACCAGAAGGCAGCATGAAGCTTGTGATTGCTTACTGTATGTTGGTCGTCTTGGCTATGACTTTGCCACAAACACAGTTGAGTATTCCTGTCTCTTTCCCTCTCTCTTTCATTTATACACATCGTGATTGTGAATAATCACGTGGCAGAAGTGGGTCTCCACCATAGACACTCCCCTTATAGTGCAGGTGGACGCAAATGATTTCCAGTGCAATGAAACAATACTAACTTTGACCCGGTTATTTCTGTATCAATAGATGTTCGGGGAACGGCTTTGTCTTTTGGGTTTAATATGGTGTTGGTGGTAGTGATGGTTGTGGCGAGGTTATGGTGGTGCCGGTAGTGGTGATGGTGCTATGCATGGTGACGGCGGTGTTAGTGGCATTGGCGCTGTTAACACTGGGTAGGAAAAGGAATTGGAGGATTTCAAAATTCTAGACAGAGTATCAAAGATCAGAAATCGTTAATTGTGTATTCCGACTGCAAGAAGTAAAATGTTAATGTTCACGATACAGAAGATTTCTGTTTTCAAAGAGATGAGAATATTCTGTATAACATCAGAAAATCATATTTTCCCGTCAGGTGTGACAAGTGTTCCTTCGCCCGCAGAGACCGTTACACTGTACGCTGTGGATTTTGGAGTTCGAATAGATGCACCAAATACAGGTTTCATATTTAACTCCTAATTTGCGGAACTTAAACTACTTTTTCGGATATGCATTGGGCAGTGCGTGTATAGAAATAAGACTATTAATTCTCATATATTAAGGACACATTCGAATATAATGCGATGAAGTGTACATGCGTTTGTATTCCTCATAGCAGATGCAGAGCGAAATTTTTAGGAGACCCTAAAATCTGTATGTTAATCTTGGATAACTTGATAAATCCTCTGAAAAAAGATGTCTTCTTCGTTAATCAGGTACACACTTGATTATCAATGCTGCCCGGGATGGACTGGAGCAGTGAGCGCTGGCTGCCCCATCAGAGGTGAGAATATGTCACTTTTTTATAAATTGCCGTGCTGCCTGGCTAGCTGACTGGCTGTTGTGCTTGGCTGCGGCTGGCACAGAATCAGGCAGTCAGGCGGCCTGACAATATGAAAGGGCAGGTCTTTTCAGAGGGCAGTTTATGGACAGTCCTATCAGTTCGAAACAGGCTGATTCATTATTCTCCTAGGTTTTTTCTGGTTTGGTCATAAATCATCTTTAGACCTCAGACATAGCTCTTCTGAACGACTTACACAGTGTGTGTCAGCATTATTGCGAATGTGGTGGAGGACGACCCACCGGTTATTTTCCTTTGAGTTGGCCTTTCCGGACACTAGGTAGATTTTATTTTGAACGGCGGGGAAAGCGTGTAAAAGTGTCTTTTTCTACCGCTGAAAGGGTGCGTGTGCACGGACTGAACCAAGAGCTCACCAAAGTGCTTGCTTTCGAAATGACATTTGTGACGATTGGCTTTTATCCACTACAGTTACAGAGCCATCGGACCTTAGACCTGAGTGGCCAGACGCTATGCCTTAATTCAGAGGACCAGACGCAGGCTTACCTCAACCTTTTTGAGGTCACGGTTGAGTCTCTGACTGCTCACCATCATAAACGACGTTGCTACACTGAAAATGTGTTGTTAGTTAATCCATAGCTATCAATATTTTCACTGGAAAATGTACACGGGGAGAAGATGGTTTTTAAATCTTGTTGGGTTGAACTAGTCTCTTTATCAGTAGGTGAGGAATAAGCTTTCAGGAAATATACCTCACAAACCCCAAAGCATGGCTGTAGGAAACCAGACTTGAAAAAAAGGGTTGGCATCCCAGAAGAGTTCTTTGTTTCTGCTCGTTTCTCAAACTACCGTTTTTCTTTATAAATATTTGTTTGATGATCTCACGAAGTGAAAAAAACCTGAGAAATCGATATTTTTTTCGATCTGGGGTTTTTGCAGCCATTTAGGTACATTTGATTCAACGAACAAGTTGGCACAGTATTACAACTAAATGTTGTGTACTTTTTAATTGTCGTAAACAAACATTCGACAAAAAGCTTGGTCTCCAGGTTTTTTGGTCTCACGAAGTTAAAAACCTGCTCGGTACCGGGGCAAAAAAAACATAGCTCTGGTCGAATGAAGATGCCGTGTGCATGCGTGCGTACGGCATTTAACACGAACAGCCGGGTGCGTGTTTAAGGGTGCACTGAACTAATTGGAGCCCCATTGAAGACAATGTGAAATCGACCACGTTTGCAGCCCCGGTGCGGGCAACCGAAAACCGAAAAACTCAAAGCGACAAGTCACCATGCTTTACAATGAAAGGGAATATCCGTTTTTTTATTTCATATATTTCATTTTTTCATTGTAGCTCGTCATAGACATGTACTAATTACACAAGAACTAGTGTTTCAGACTGATCAGTGGTTTCAAAAGCCTTGAATTTGTAGGGTGAGCAGTATCAGAATTTTTTGTGCGTGCTTTTAGCTCAACATACGAATGTAATCGGAAAATCTATAACTTGCAAATACAGAAAACACCGATTTGTAATCATCGGTGAATTATACGAAATTAATAAGGAACAAAAACAGTTTATACTGTCTTTTCAATATCCAGTGAGGGTATAACAGTTTGTTTTTGTAGTCGGCACTCATGAATGTGCAAGATATTATTGTGTCACGACACCTGCTTGTATATTGCGCTTAAGTATCATGTTAAAGTGGTTGTATACATCTTCGTTTTGCTTCGTCGCAAACGCCGATTTAGCCGCCTCCTATTTTACCAGTTATGAAGCAACACTTGTTGCCAACCAAGATGGAACGTTTACAACCTTTGGCCGCCACTGCAAAAGGGCGCTCCATGTTTGTAAACAAAAGAAAATATTTGTATGCAACAGTGGGGTTGGGAGAGGATTGGATGTGGAGAATTTGTGACGTCAAAGAACGTTATGTCAAGTTATAAAAGTATCCTTTTGAATGGAAAGACACCTGGAAAGGGCAGAATAAAGACTACAAGTCTTGAACAAAACATATATTGTGGTCTTTACAACTGTACTTTTATACCGTAGTGGCGTATCCACGTCTTCGGGTGGCCGATATGGGGGGACGCAGGATGGATTTTTTTCCCGAAAACAACTGTCAAAGCTTTGTCACCTGTCTGTAACAATCTTCAACCCGCCGCTCAAGATCAGGCGGCAGTAACGTTTGAAAATGCTGGCATTTGAAACAAGATATGGGACGGAGAGAACCCCCCCCCACCTTTGTGTTTGTCATCATTTGATCGGAATCTCAGGAATTCTTAACAGATTTCGGGGGAGTGTGTGTTAGGTAACAATAGTCTAGAGTGTGTACTGGCATTGGACAGGTAAGGGAAGTCCCATACCTTGCCTGGTATAAATGCTGGTGCTTTCAACTGAAATCCCTTTAAGCAACTCTCTGCAACTGGATAGAAGGCGTTTGGAATAGTTAGGCCTGCGTGCACCTCACGTACGTTGCCTTCCTCGACTATTCTTGCTTATTGTTCAGGGTAATACTCTGAAACGCCAGTGAGCTTTTGTGATGGAAACCAGACGTCTGATGGATTATTTTGTGAGTCCTGTCTACGTGCAAAACAAATCATGATATTCTTGTAATCGGGGTTTTCACAAGAGTGTGNTGGTCATTAGCTTGCAAGCGTTTATTAAAACCAGATTCACAAACTTAAAATCAGGTTCGCTGTGATTTTATTCTGTCACAGCAATACATTGCTTAACGGAAAGTCCAGTTGATATTCAAATAGTGTAGAATTAAGTAGGGTTTAATGGTGTCGATAACAACCAATTTATGACACATCAAGGATCGATTGTGGCTTCTAATGAAGCTGTTGCATGAAATGACCCAGTATCTCTTTAAAAAAACCTTTTGCACTTTTGGCTCCATTGCAAATATATATGTGGGGTACATCTTCCGGTAATCCCTTACAAGAAATATTTTCAACGGTTTATGTTACACCGTATGTTGGCTACATGCGGTGCGGCTGCTCCATGTGAGACTATGACGTGCACTTTGTATCACCGTGTCAAGGCTAGTTTGTTTTAGTAGTAAAAGACAAATGTTTTAAGAGGGGTATATTTTTCAAATTAAAAGTTTGCTAGGAAATGTACTGTTACACCAAGCCTTTTGCATGAAGACGGAAAGAGTGAAATTGGTGGCAACCGTCTGTGCCCTGTATCACTTCGAATCGCCTGACGGAGTAACATGAAAATACATTTTGCTTTATTGTTGGAAAAACTTCCTCAATTGGGTTTCGTGGGTCACCCAACCGTAAAGGGGTCCTTATTATGCAAATAACATGAATGCACGAAAGGTTTCTCAAAGCAACAGTAGAAATGTGACACTTAATTGCGAATCGGGAGTAAATGTGTGTTCAACCATTTCAGCAGTGAATCGTTTTGAAGAGATTCTGGCCCCTTTCCCTTCAACGAACAGTGCATCCCTCCAACACGCAACTTTTCAGAGCTGGAGAGTTGAAATTTGGAATTGTGGGGTATTTTTACGCCCATGTTTTACTTTCTTACTGGCACACAAACTTTTTCTGAACACTCGCAAATGAGCATCTGATTTGAGTGTTAAGGGTGTCGGTTTTTTCTCATTTGGTTCTCTCCTAAACTCCTGATGTTTGAAATATTCCAAGCCCGACCATCCTATTATACTCATGCAGTTTACTTTCATGGAATCCGATTCGAGGCTTGGTATCCAACTCTGTGTTGACACAAATCTGTACGAGTAGTTTACTGCTGATACAAACATGGTTTTTTCAGCGGACTTTTTCGCACTGTTGCATGTAGGCTTGGAAGTTTACTGTTTCCTTTGGAATAAAAAACGGAAATACATGTATACGACTGGCATTGGCGGCAGAAACTGTCTACCCTCCGTATAGCGAAAGGTTACACGACAGGATGACATGAACAAGACTATTGTGACTTGGACCGGGGCTTCGAGCCCGTAGACAAAGACAAGTGCATTTCGCCCCGGGCACATGCCCACATCCCGCTCAGCTATGTTGCCTACAGTTTCTGTATTTGCCTAAATTTCTGTACGTGATAAAATTTGTTCATTTAACTTGTTTGGACAATGTTTCTTTCGTCACTGTGAAATCAGAACGTTCGCTTTTCTATGATTAATGTCCGTATGTATGTGGGGAAACGATTAACTTGTATTGTGATTTTGCTTGATTGTTAAATAATTCGACCAAATAGAGGGCGCTCGTCTACTTACTGTTGAAGTCAATTGCCAAAAGGTAGCCGGCTGTGTATGCAAAGTAGTCTAAAAATAGAACTGTATCTATGCGGCGAAGGGATGTGTCTGCAAGGACTTAGGTTTTTGGCTGGTGGAGACGAGTTTAAAAAACAGAAAAGTAGTTTTCTAGAATGGGAGGAAGGAGTGTGGTTCAATCGAAATGGCGTCTTGTGAACCCTAAGCCACGCCGGCTGGTGCTGATCGTTTGGCTCCTCCGCTGCTACTGCAGGAACGATTATCAATGTGATTCCAATCAAATCTGAGTTGCAATAAATCAGCACATCTGAAGCTACTGGACGCCTGCTTCTCTGGAGTATTACTCTGGTGTTTTTGTTCGTCACAAGTGAGACCAGTCCCGGTTGTCAAGTCTGGCATGTTGACTACGACCCAGCAGCGCAACCCCGCGCTTACTACATGTACACTGAATTTGACATTCCCAAAATCATACAAGTTTTTTCCATCAGTAGATTTCCGCAAGAGGAGAAGCCCTTTTCCAATAAGTACAAAAAAGTACAAGGCACAATATCCAACGAGCACGGCTACAAAGAAAGCACTCGACCATGTTTAACATTTTTATTTTTGAGTTTTCAAATTATTTTTTTAATTCGGAAATTCAAACAGAACTAACCTCAGAGGTCCTCAATAGAGTGTAGCGAGTAAGCGTGAATGTCACTACAGTTGCCCCATATTTTAAGACAAGATCATTTCATTTGAAGCGCAACTATCTTTTGTAAAGTACAGCTTGTGCTCGAAAAAACAAGAATCGTTAACTAACTAAGGAAAAAATGAATTTTGACCCTAAATTGGTGTAAATATAGTAGTGACGGCGTCGACAGGCTGGTGGGGGCGCTGGTGTGGCTCCATGCGGCTATGCCGGTCCCTGCCAGTTGGCTTTGGGCCAGCCCTTGCGGCGCCGGCGCAATAGCCTTTTAGGGATTTTCCATTACCTCCGTTTCGCGCCAGTTCTGACAGGCAAGTTTTTTGTGTGATTCAGTCCAGTGCTTTTGCGGGAGGAAATCCAGATTTGCTTGGACTTTGCATGAAAGAGCTCAGCGTGTGTTCACCGTTTTTGAGGTAAGATAAAGGGCGGAAGCCACTGGACAACGGTACAAGCGGCGGCGGCGGCGGCGGCGGCGGCGGTGTTGGCGGCGGTGGTGGGGGTGGTGGTTTCGGGCAGACCTGTCTGACTAGTGATAGATCAACCATTCACAAGAAACAGCGGCAGTTGCAGCGCGTTTGTTCCAACGCTGGGGTGACCCATATGGGACGTATCTTGTGAGAATTTCTCTGAAAATGTCAAATTATTCTGCAGTTGAAAGCAAACAAAATGCGTTATTATAACAAATAAAAATGTATTTCGAACAATAAAATACGGAGGCGAGTGCCACCCGACTGTGCCACCCCTGGATCTGTTACTGTTGAATCATAAATAATAAACATTCACCACACACCTCACACCTCACAGCTTTTATACTGAGATCACTGAGACGAACTGGACCCAACACGGTCGGGATCGATTTCATTGTGGAAAATTTAAGAAATAAAGATTTTAAATGCACATTAATCAGCATCAATCCTTCAGCTCACTGTATTCAAACCTAGAAAATTGCCGGTTCTGCGCCCAGAGAAATGGGAAAAAGCGCACGGACTCCTGAAATTCGAAAGGTATTGTAGTTATCGGCCTCCATGTCGGACTCTTCTGGGGTCTCGGGGTCCCAGCCCACCACACCTGCTCCCCTGCCCATCAATTTAACCCCAACAAGGGTTTTAGCGACCATGCGAGGGAGAAAACGAGACAAGCCCCTAAGCCCTGACTTTGGTTTATATATTATATGATTACATCATCCTTCTACAAGCCAGTGCTGGAGCAAAGGTTTTGCTCCTCAAAGACAAGACTTTGATCCACAAGCCTGCGTCTCGGGGTCAGCAGATGATTTGAATTTAGACCGAAAATCAAGCAAAGGGGATTTGTGCATCTGACAATTTTGAAGTAGTTCAACATAGACATCGGTTATAAAGCTGTTCTCAAACTGCCGCTATTTTATTGTCGAAAACGTTCGCCAACTACGAGCACTGCAATCCATGTCACTAGTCGCTGGAATTTTTTTAAAACACTGCAATAGGCACTTCTAGTTAAAGACAAAAAGGTGTTTAAAAGCTTGCACTGTGAACGTTGTTCGTTCAATAATGTTTACATAAAACTGGCCTCCTATCAGCCTCCTTGATAGTGACGTCTGTAGCCTTAACTTGGTTGATGAACATCTCCTTATGGACTGCCAGCTTGGTTGTGCGCCAACGGGATTCTAGCTGCCTACGTATAATGTAGCGGACCAGTCCCACGTCAATTGGACGGTGGGAGGAAGGAGGAACTTTCCCCTTATTAATTAAAGCAGACGAGCACTTGGGATATGAGTATACAAGAACAGATACAGGCCTGAAGCAAATGCCATCTACATTATATATATCCTAAACCACAATTTATTCCCAAATATGATAGCAGGATGGCACAGTATAATACAATGAGATGACAAGTCAGATATCACATGTAGGCTAAGCACAACAACAGGACTACATGTACTATGCACAATACAAACAAGTCGACGTTGTGGCCCCCGGAAAATTACACAATATCTTCGCCAAAAAATCATACAAAATATACCTTAAAAGCTACTGATGAAAGAGACCTTCCCCCAAGACTTAGAACCATGGCTGGAGTACTCCCTGCAATATCGAAGGACATACAGCCAGTTTGATTGTGGCTCTACACAATTCGAAACCCAAAGATAGAGGCCCTCCTTGACACTGTGTGCACAGGAAGCGCCAAAATTATAACTGTGTGGTTGCACTACACCAAGTACGCGCCAACAGGAAAGTGCAAAATTGGACCGAAATAGCGCCGTTTGTTGACGCTCGTGAAGAGGTTGGCCTCCCTTTTTTTACTGGAAATTCAAGATTATGGCTAGATGATCTCTTTTCGTTTTAATTTCATGGGGGTTAGCCAAGAAAATATTTTTGCATTCGCTTTTCAAGGAAGATACCCCCCAAAACTGCAAGCGCCCATTTCTGAATCAAGCCGCCCGCCTCTATCCAAAAAAGGCCCCCAATTTGGGGCTTTTTGTGAAAGAAATACCCCGAACTGGAAACTATCACTCCAGAATTCGGGATTTATAGAAATATTTCTATGATTCCTTCTGATTATGGCATGCCTTATTGTAAAAACCCCGTGGGATCACAAAATATTAATGAGCTCGCGCGTAGAAATACAACCATTTCGTGGAATGCACCCTTATGTTAATTACCTCTTCGACGTGCATTAGAAGGATGAGGGCGCCCTTACTTCAATAAAGTAAGGCACATGTGGCCAGTGACCTCTTTGGTCATCCACGGATCGGTCTCACGACGCTTTGGGTAAATAGTTCGCTCTAGTGCACAGTTTGTCCAGTGCAAAGGTAAAAGCTGAATAGGAAAAGATTGTAAGATTATCCTGTTAAAAACATCTTGGTTGGATCTGGTTTCCTGCCACTTGCTGAAGGATAATTACACTTCCCAACATACTCCATCTTCTAGTCGATCAGATTAATCATTTACCTGTTATGGGTGAATTCCCTGACAACATAAAATGTGCTGAGATAACACCGACTCTTAAGAAGCAAGGGGCTGACTAGTGTGATTTTAAGACTGATTGATCGGTCTTTATAACTTTTCATATTTTTCTAAGATTCTTGAGTGCGTATTGGCAGCCAGGCTCCGGACCCAACTTGTATATATCAACATGTATATGCCAAATCAGTCTATGTAGTCCTGGCCATACCGTGGAGCACAGATTATATAGCGCCGTAGCGGCGCAAGATGGGTATTTCGGCCATAAACTTGAAAATGTTATCACCATAGGCGCCATTCGAGTGTGAACGTTCATGTGTGTGCGTGCCTGTCGCGGCGCCTGCACCTGTGCATTAACATGCACTGCGCAGTCGTAGTCCAAACAGAATGGCGCCTATGTGATAAAAACGTTTTACGCGTGTTCATGGTGAAGTTCCCCCCTTAACCTTAAAACCTACGTTTTCAAAGAAGTATTCGATATTTTCTGCTAAAGTTGTAAAATGTATTAATGGTTTTAATTTCTAATTTATGATCGTTTTTTATGTGTTACGTTTCAATGTTTTAAGGCCTCTTCTTTGACTGAATTTAAACAATTTTTGAATCAACCTATTTGGGATGATTTTACTGGGGGACAGAGTCTTGATGTGTATATCTCGTTTTTACTTATTATCTTTGTATTTTCCTTCGGCATGTTTTAATGTTATAAAGCGCCACTGAAAATTCAGTTTAAAGTGACCCTATTATCAATTTCTTCCGCAAAGTATCCCGAATTGTTTTAAGTTATTATTTTCGATACGGCAAGGAGGAAACTTGTGCGGAGAGAATGGTGGAAGAAAGGATCAGTACTGGACCACGCATCGTGAAATCAAACTACCAGACAGATGAGAGATACAGTTGTGGCTTTCATTTTTGAAATGTATAGCGGAGACTTACCGTTACTCCCAAGAGTACGCTCCTGGAAGGGTACGTAGCCGTATCATTTTGTCCAGGAAAAAACTATTGAGCTATATTTCTATTCATTTTTAACCTGGCTTGGTCGGTCGAAAACTATAACGTTTAAGACGGGCTCAGGAGAATGAACGCTGATGAACGCCCTATCCTACGGTTCGGGCAGTTAGTCGCGTCCATTCTCCTGAGCCGGTCTTGTTAAAAGCTCGTTTAAGTGACCGGCCAAGCTCATAATAATTCACTCCCTTATTAATTTACAGCTACACAAACATCTCTTTTTCACGTAGGAAAAAGTCTTTTTATCTGTATTTGTTAAAAATATATACATTATACGAAAACTGCTGCGAACTGCTTGCTGGCTACAATGACCTAAAATACAACCTAATGTTTTGATTCTAGCAGAATCTTTCTTTATGGCAAAAGGAATTAAATTTTCGTGTTAAAGCCTGTTGCAAGGTTTTGTAAGTTTTATTTCCATTCAGACTCTGGTTTCAAATGAGGAGAAATCTATTTCATTGAAAAGTAAAAATTCTATGAGAGATAAAGGAAGACATTCACATGATTTTGGAGAGAAAAAAATATGCTCCACCCAAACAGCTACTTTTCATGCCTTGCGGTCCTGTTTTCATACATTAACATTCAATTGCTTACTTTGAGTCATTTCAATGTAAACATGTGATATTGCCACCTTCAACTCAACGCCGTGAATGCGTAGGCTCTGATCAAAAACAGCGCTCAATATCATCAGTTATTTTTTTCTGAGCCGTTAGTGGTTTCATCTCTTCCAGATATCACAGAGGTGTAACGCAACACAGCCCAATCTTCCGACCACCTGTTGGGTTCTGTTTCTTCATATTGAAAAAAATACCTGCTCTGTTTCCTCCCCAATAGCCCTTTTCTAAATATAGTCTTATTTGGCTTTCATACTGAAGCGACGGCACGGGCAGACATTATGACCCAGTAATCCCCGCAATGGAATTTATTATGCCCAAGGTTGGACATTAATGCGGAGTTCCCCACTGCTGTATGCGCAGTTCACCTTGAGTGAGGTCACATGGAGGGAATGCGATCACTGTGCTCGTGCGCCATATCCAGACACGACAACAAGCGCAAACCCGTTCTATTATCTCGAGAACGTGTGGACGTGCACTTGTACTTGTACACGCACATGTTCGTTTACTGTACATGTACATGTACGTGTGGCGCGCGCATGTGGAAATATTCGTACTGGCAGTTGGAATTTGAAGAAGAGAATAAACGACAGGCTTCGATATCTCTTTCTGAAGCTCCACGGTAACTCCATGCCTAGAGATCATCATGAATTGTTCTCCGTTTCCTCTGTTGTTCTTCGTGGTTTACGCTGGTAAGTTGGTGGGTTTTTTTTGGATCCCACACCGACGAGTGGAGGAGAAATCGCGTTTCATGAACAGCATTCACGCGTGGCTCTTGTGGCAGCCCCATTACCACGTTTAATTTCACTTCAATTGTCGGTACTTGAGGGCACAGAAATTAATTGACTTTGGTGGTGAAACCTTGTATATTATGTGTGAACTTTATAGTTCAATCGTGGTTCTACTACTTTGGGGAAATGTGTTGATTTATCACCAAATTTCCAACCCTGCACAAATGGCATGAAATGGCATGCATTTCGGACACTCATGCATAACCGTATGTATTTTCATACCCAACTTACTATGTAAATTTGAATCCATTAGAAAACGTTAAGCGCTGGATTAAAGAAGACATTGAGTTCACTTTGATTTCGCACTCTAACAAGATTTACCAAACAACTAATACAGAAATTCAGCTCTTCACCTGTACGTAAGCAATGTACATGTATGTCCCCAGAAGTTAGTGAGTGTGGGTAGATATAGAACCATAACTAACATTTTAAAAGAGAATTTGGACTGGTTTGAAATTTGAGCTTCTTCCTGAAACTGTGAAAGTTTACTTTACGTAAATATCATCGCGTTATAACCCTTTAAGATAACAGTACAGTCCAAATTGATCATGGCCGCTCCTTCGGGGCTCCCCGATTTTCTCGAACAAAATTTCCTATCTCGAGACATTTAGCTTTCTGTTCTTCCAATCACAGTAACTCTCACGCCCAAAATGTAAGGATAGTTGCCACATTTGATGATTTTTAAATTATTTGTGATGGGCACTGACGGTATGTGGAGGGTTTTGGACCGACATGGGACGCTACATGTGAAGAGCGAACAAACTGTTCGATCATGTGTGTGCCACGTAGGCCTACATTGTACGTTTTGGTCGCGCAGTGTAAGATGGCTGCAGTCAATATTCACTGCACACATCGTGCACACGGTGTTCATTCGACAAAATTTCAGCCTTGCATTGCTGAAGAGGAATCTTAAACTTGAAGATAGATTTGTAAACCACTATCACTGCTCAATGCCATGGAAAAAATGCATTTTTGAGGGCTACAGTCGGTCTGCTGATCAACCTCGCCTGTGCACTGTCGTGGCACTCAGAAACGTCCTGTGGCCCATGGAGTTTTGAGAGACAAATTACACGAGCTGGGTTTTGAACGTTAAAAATGAACAGCGTTTTTCTCAATTTTCCTCAAAGCAGTGAAATCAAAAATTGAAACGGGCTCTTGAAATGATAAACTCGATCCCAAACCCCCAAACTGGCAACTTTTGACAAATTGCAGTACATGCAAATCCTACACACTGCCTTTACAGTGATGAAGTTCGTGTAAAGAGGATACGTACGTTCCACTTTGACTTTGCGGCATAAGGACAGGGCATTTCGTTTTCAGGACATTTGGGAATACTGGATTCTGTTGCTGTAATAAAAGACGCTAGGCAACTGAAATGAGACAGAAACGTGCAAGGAAAGTGTTGAGGCAACTGTAATGGTGCAAAAGACACTTAGTTTTGTTATATTTTATGAGGCGCAACAGTGCAAAATGGACACTGCCAGTGGCAGTCAACAATGTGGAACACCTCAACAAAGGCGTAACCTCTTATCAAGAACCTACCGTAGCATCTTATTCCCCTTGTCACAGTCCTTCAGCGTGTCTGGGGTCATCGAACTCGCTCAATATCGATTGTCATTGGAAACTCAAAAGCTTTGAGCAAGGTAACCCTCTTAAGGGACTGTGTTATTCCCATTAGAAAATAGGAATGAGTAAACATCATGTTGTTCATTCATTGCTGCTTAACTATTGGGAAAGAAATCAAAGATGGAACATGGAGAGGTTTGTGACGTCAGTGCAAGCGACCGGTGCAAGCGATTTGATTGGACGATACGTTAAATGGCGGCCATGTTTATCGACAATGCTAACACTCACCTCCGAGGCTTGCATTGTAAAAAACCGTGGTTGCTTTACTCAAATAGGTCTGACTTCTGAGGCCGGTATCGCCAACGTGACAGGAGACACCACAATGACTACCCCCACCACCCCACCCATTATTACCAACGGCACCGCGATCACAACCCCATCCCCCAGCGGCCCGACTGGCAGCGTCACGCCGACTACCCGGGCCACCAACGCCACGACCCCGGCCCCGACATCCCCTGCCGCCACTACCCCGTCAGCAGCTAACATGACCACCAAGCCGGAGGTCGTGACCACCCCCATGACCGGCAACACGACGGGAAACACGACAGGTCCTACCAACATTACCATCACGACGGTTGCTCCAGCGCCTGTCGTCCCAAGGTAAAAACTGCAGATGCAGAAGTTCTACGTCTTTGGGTTTTTTTTTTCAGATTTAGATCTGGTGTGTTCGCGAATTTCTGATGGCAGTTACAGATTAAAAGAACAGAAAGTGTGCACAGCCTGGTTTTTCATGCTTCGAATTTTCCTGCATTCCAGAGAATATTTCTTTCTTGCCCTTTTTAGTATCTTTATGTCAATCTGTCTCCACTTTGCGAAATTGCGGCAAGAGGAATTCGCCTCCAGCAGAACTGCCGTTATCACGGGTTTGTGTGCCCATGCGGCCCGAAGAGCGCTGACAAGCCAAACTGAGTGTCAAAGTTTTTGTTCCCTAGGTTTCAAGTCAACAATTCCGATGGGGAGACTTGTATGCTGTTGAATTTCAACGCCATGATGATGGTGAATTACACCACAAAGGACAAGGGGGTATGTGTACCAATTGGATTCCATCCAAATCGTGCATACCAGAATAATTCTGAACTCCTTACCAGAAGCACAGCAATTAAACACGTAGCTCTTTTGATATCCTGGGCTTGTGTAACAACAGTAGTCAGTACTTCTCCCTTTAAATTTTAGACTGTGTTCATGTTTTAATAAAATTAACGTCTTCGGTTTTTTTCTTCACGTAATAAATGCATTCAGAACCAGCAAAAGGGTTCTGAAAGGGTTCTGACATTTTAAACTTTAAACCAGTCTAAATCGATGTCGAACATAATCGCCAACCTTTCACAAAGATGGCGAACTTCATAGCTAACCCACCGCACAGACATGTCGAACATTCATAACACACCCTTCACACTGACATGTCGAAAATTACAGCCAAGCCATCACGGAGAGATGTCGAACTTCATAGCCAAATCTTCAAACAGATGCCGAAGTTCAGCCGAACGTAACTTATCCTTCACTCACGAAAATTAAGTTGCTGTATTTTATAAGCAAAGGATACTAAGTATATACATGTACCTTGTAAGAGTGGAGAAACCATTTATTGGGATTGTCATAAAAAAAGGCTCCATTGGATTTTTTCCTAGTGGAGAGCAATATACTTTCAGGGTTTCCACACCGAAACCACCAGCGCTTGCAAAGCAGGCTGTACACCTTTTTCCCTTCAGGTTCAGACAGCGACTATCCCCATCATGAATGCAACGTCATACGAGGGATTCTGCAACAGTACCATGCCGAGAACCTTCACCCTCTATTATCCCGACAACGACTCGTTTTGCGCCTCTCTGACTCTGCTTTTCAACGCAACGAGCAACGCAACTTACTACAACGCTGAAGCCATATCCGTGCGCTACGTCGAGCCGTGCTTCCCATCAAATGCTTCTAAATACAGTAAGAGTCTTATTCCTCGGACAGCAATGTTCCGTCCCCTTGAAAACATACAGTCTGCCATTTGTCGTGTGCATTATGATCCCCTGAGGCAACAAAATTAACTCAAAATCTAAAGAAGAAACCTGATGAAGTTTTAGCTCATTGAATACTATGCATCCCGGGAAAAACAGTATTCTAGAATTTCGGTTTCAGATCAAAGGTTGCCAAGTCATGGTTTGAATGGTGCCTGGATTCATCGTCTCTGACACGTTCTCAATCCGAATCATAGCTCATTTCTCATGACAAAATTTACAGAACAAAAATGAGTTTTTTTATGCCTTGTTGGAATTGCCTTCTTTCATTGTTTACTTCAAAATGACAGCCTGCCGGAAAGGAGCATTTTACAGGGAGTTCAGTCCGTATAATTTTAGATAATGATTTCGTCAGTTACATTTTGGATAACAGCGTGGGATTGAGTGTAGCTTTAAATTAAAAAACAGTCGAGGACAATACTCCCGACACTTCCCGAATAAACTGGGCAACGTGTCCTCGATGGCAACATGGATACATAGGAACAGTTTCCCTATAAGTGAACTGTTTAATTTGCATGTAAGTAATTTATGTTGCAAAGCCAAAGGTACAGTATATATTTTAAAATCGTGTTGTCACATTGCACGTTCAGATGCCACGATTTGATAAAAACGAGGGGCAAGAATGCTTTATTGGAAGTGGCACAAACAGGCTAAGACTGCAGTAATAGAGTCGATTTATTGCCACCGGCGCCTTTTTGTGCCCTCCATATTTAGCCCCCCCCCCCGAATAAAGAAAAAGTGAATTCCTCGTGCAAGCTGTAATGCAGTCGGAAATTGAGACAAATGTCGCGTTTGCATGCAGGACGTTTTTTTGCTGAATATTCATTCTAGCAGATGTATATAACGATTCTTTGTGACATCTTGTTTGTATACCCTTGAACTTTTTTGACATTTGCAGATGGCACCGACCAAATCAAGTACAGTCCATCCTACAGTAAGTTTTGATCAAGGGACACCAAGCAACATATACATATATAATAAAATATAAAACTCAAAGATTCATTTGTCCTAGAAAAAAGCAGAATATTTTCGACGATGCAGGCTGTGGCTGTGTACACATTTTTTCGGATTGATGGTAAAATTTTGATTTTCCTGTATATGTTTGGATCTGTAAAACTATGGGAGGTGAATAGTAAAACCTACCTTTAACTTTTTTTTGTTTGTTTGTTTTTTTGCGATCCTAAATTTTAATTTAAACTCAGTTTTATTTATGGACCTTAATGTATCCACTCTACAACCGCTATTCTGTTGTTGTATGCTAATCTTTGTAGATTCAAAAAAAAGGAAATTTTGCATTGTTTGGATGTTGTGTGTTCCAAATTGTGAAGTCACTTCTTGAGCTCAGAGTCTGCATAATTTAAAAATAAACAATTAAATGCATATCTGCGCACACCTATTGCAACTACATGGCACATACTTTAAAACTTCCGTGTTATAAGGAGTGTCCTCTTTAAAAATTCACCAAAGCTTCTGATTTAGACCGCCTTGAGCAGAAGTACTCTCTCATCGGTCGAAAAGAGGCATGTTGGTGGGGAGTCTCGCTCGTCGCCCAACGCCCAAACAGGACGCTGATGTGCCAGAAGGGCTGATGGCCTTGTACAGATTTAAGTGAAGGAAATACGTCACACGGGGTCACAGTTAACGACACGTAGAGCATTGTGGGTATACTTGCGTTAATGCGTTACTCAAGCGGCGGTTATCAATTCAATATTTTTTCTTTTTCTTCCTCATTGCTGAAAATATTCTCACTACACTTCATTTGATCATCCAAAAATTGATCAAGACCAATAATTTGAAATATATTGCCAAAACACACGTGATCAGTAATACTTAGTGAGAAGATATATCACCACACTGTGATTGTACCAAAGTCACGTTTTTATCATATGGCCGACACATTTTTCTGTGCAAAACATTGCTATTGGTGACCCCAAACAATTAAAATAACGCTTCGCTAACAGAAGTGATAACCTCACGGTCACAGGTCGTGTGCAATGCAGCCATTCACAGTGCAAAGCCATCAGCCTTTCCCAGCGGCCCTGTTCGGGCGCTGGATAATGAGCGAAGGTGAGGAGTGTTCATTTTGTTCGTAGCAACGAGACCGTAACGTACGCGTTTCATAATTATTCGTTTGCGAACCAGTGAAGTGCAGTTCCCACCAAAGGACCCCCCATTGCTAGGAGAACTACGCCCTCTTTTGGTCCAGCTTGGTGCTCGTATACTACGAAGCTAATGAATTTCCTTTCCGTTTCGTCGTTTTGAAATTGATTCAGACGGGACCATCGGAAAGAGCTTCCAATGCCAAAAAATATCCCCAGTCAGCAAGAACAGGAGTTTCGCTCTGGTGTTGGACGATGTCTTCTTGCAGCCTTTTGCAGAGAGGTCGGCCGATCCGGGCCGCTTCGGCGAAGGTAAGTTGCCCGTTATTTGCTTGGCCTTCAGTTGAGCAATCAAAAAAATCAGTGAGATGTATTTTGTCGGGGACAATCTAATCTTTAGGCGGAATAAGGAAAAACTGCAACAGACCAAACGGTCTTTTAAAAGGACAGTTTTTTCTTGATGTGTGTACTTCAGAAAATATTTGGACGCGCGGAATTCTTGACTGCTTCGTCTGACTTACAATTCACCACAAATACAGCGTCCTTGTGAAGTGATACTCCCAAGAGGTATTCCTGTCTCCCTCTTTGGTTACTTGTGCAGTTGAATCCTGCCGCGATGTGCCGTCCACGCCTAAGCCTACGGCGACGTCCGGCCCGTCGCACCCGCCCACCAAGCCCAGCCCAAGCCACGCTGGAGAGATCGCCGGCATCGTCCTGGGCCTGCTGGCGGCGGTGCTCATCGTGGGCTTCGTTGTCTACATGGTGAGGAAGAGGCGGTACAAGCCGATATCCTACGGGAACCTGGACGAGGAAATCACCCGAGCCATTTAGCGACGGGGAACAGTGTCGTGTTTGTTTTGGGGTTTTTTCGTACCACATTTTTTTCCGTACCACATCTTCGCTATGAGTCGGAGGTTAAAGGTCACGAGGCATGACAATACGGGTGCTACTCGTGCACGAGACTTTATTTCAAAAAAGATCCTTCGCTTTGTATACCAAAGGTTAGTGTTTTGGCTATCTGTGTTGCAATTTGCGATCACTTTTTTCAGAGTGTTAGTCAGAAGTTGGAGGTTTTAAGTGTTTAAAATTATTGAGTGAGAAATGAACAAAAAAATAAACGACAAAACTATAAGCTGGCGAATATGTGGTACGGAAAAAATCTCCGACGGGGATGCTCTAAGCTCTTATTGCAGCACTGCCTCGTGCACAAAAGAATTACAACTCATAGCATCAAGCAGCCTGCTGGATTTGCCATACAAGTTGAAATTTCATATGACACCAAGACCGAAAAGGTCAGGTTTCTTTATTAGCCAAGAAGCACTTTTCTTTTCTGTTTAGCGGAGTGGAGGCACTCACCGCAATACGCATGTGCGAATCACCACCTGTCGGACGAAGCCTGTCACAAGGGTGTTCCCAGGTTCATAATTGTTGTATTTGAGAGGCAGAATGGGTAACAAGTCAGCGTCTTTTTGGTGCTGACCGTGTCCGTTCAATTAATTGTGTGCCAAAGGCGTGAGTTGTTTTACTCCATGCTACTAATTAAAATTATATACTTTGATTCCTGTAAATTTCGTTGAGCTATATTGTGCTTTTCCCCTCAAATTCTAGGCTGTAGAAGAGTTTTAATTGCAGTGGGAGTTTGAGTTGGTTGAAACCTGGCGCATGCGCATTGTGGTATGTGACTGCACTGGGTATATATATTACTTTTAAAGAGACTTTCAGTTGCTTTCTTTTGTTTTTCTTTTCTCTTTTTTTTAGGTTAACATCTTTTACGATACGCAGAATGATCTATAACATTAATGGATCGGTCTAGCCGTATTCCGATACATGTATTTAAAGGGTCGTCTGCGTCTTTTTGAATTCAAGGCATTCCAAGACCTTAAAAAGGAAACTAAGGATTGAAATGCCTTCATATTTTGGCAAAAGAATTATAAATATTATGAGCAGAGGTATTTTGATGGGAGTATATTTTGTAGTTCTGCATGTGGTGTGTATATAGGCCTGCCTGCATTTTACACGGAGCCTTTTGTAACGAAGAAAAGTAAGAACCGATAACTATTATGTCAACGGAAATCGGAAAACGCGTTTTCTGTTGCTGCTCAGTGTTCTGCAATTTTCAACTCGCCTCCCATAAAATGTCAGTTCCACGGCGCCCTCTACCGGAACGCCGCTTTTCTGACAGAGCACTGCCTGACGACCTATAAAAGCTTAGAGTAATAAGTGGGGGAGGTTAATATGAATTTTTGAGACTAGCACGCTTTACCATGCAGGGGCACATTCAACATTGTTATTGAAACACTCTGTAAATTTACCCTGACATGTTTGAATATACATGTAGTAAATATTTTCACTCCTTTCGAAGTAGAGTTGTTTATATTAAGAGTGTTTCAGCTGACTGTTGAGTAAAGAACCGTCTGAAATATTTTGGTTAAGTGGAAATTTGGCAGTTTTTTTGTTGTAAGTAGTTGACGAGAAAGCAACCTGTGTTTTAAGGGATCCAGGAAATGAATTTTTCTTAGAATCACGTTTTAGGTATCTCTGTACTCTTCTTCCATGTATGAAGACTTTGACATCTTTTTGACTTACGCGAACTGAACGGTGTACTTTTTCAAACATTAAAAATTTACCAAGCATTTCTGGACATGTGAGGGTGCTTTCGCTTTGATGTCCAGGGAGACATGGTTCCAGTCACATGTTTTCATGTTCAAGTTGTCAACCCAAATTTGCTATCTGGGAACATTTCTGTGAAAAGGATTTTTGCTGGATTATTGCCATATACTTACACAGCAATAAATTGCCAAAGAAAATGAAATGTACCAAAGCAATGGTTAAAAAAATGTAGAAATTTCCTATGCACAAATCAGTGCAACATTGAGATTAAGTGCCTTAGATGATATCATAGTTCTGCTCATGAATATGCAAATCACATTAGCATAAACACCCAGAAAACTCAAAATGTGGGTTAAATTTGCAACACCAAAATTTGAAATAAGGTTAGTGAAACCCAAAGATGCAATTGCAAGGGTTTCAAGTAAAATTTATGAAAATATTTTTGTTTCCTGGTTCCTTCAAATGAATTTCAGAGACTGATATGCTCTATATTTGGCTCTCCTGGGATTTTTTTCATATGTCTTAAAACAGGTCGGTGTTTGAGCTTAACTTTAAACAAAGTCTTTCTATTTGAACTTTGTTCAGTTATATAGTGGTCTAAAGAAAACGAAAGAATATATATTAGACTTTCTTGTGCTTGTGTTTTTGCACATTGTAACATTATATTTTTCTATCTTTCTCTATACGAATTAAAAGCTGCCAAAGGAAACCTTCTGTCAGTGTGATGAACTCTGTAGACAGAATATTTCGTCAGGGAAGCCCAGAAATTAAACTCTTTTCAGGCCCCAGTTACGGGATGAAGAGCAGGAGTAGGAAAGATACAAATATCTCTCTCCTCTCGGGAACTGGCTACAAAATCAGGAGGCAGGACAGAACGAGTTTTCGCAAGAAACCTTCAGCATGCTTTTATTAATTTAAAATGCTTCCTCCTAGTCGAAGTGTGAGCCACTTGGAACTTAATTGTTCTCAATTCATTGATTCGCCAGTTTCTTATCAGTTCGGCTACTGTTCAATATCTTCAGGAGTGGATGGGCGGATCCAGTTGTAGTACATTTTCAGGGTGGCATTATTGTTTTGGGTCCTAGAAATTCAACATTATATGGATGTCCTGTCTTGAATTTAAGAATGAAGCTAAGTGAAGTGTAACGGGGGAGGAGACAGAAATAACCACAAAACTGCCGCTTTTTATTTAGGGAGGAGGCTTGGCCACCGTTGAACCCCCCCCCCGCCAATCCGGATCCGCCGATGTGGGAATGGCCAATGACCATAACCTAGCAATTATGCCTGCCACATGGACTCTTGTTGAGCTCTAATTAAGTTTTTAAAAAACCGTCAAAGTGTATGGTAATAACATAAAGTGCTTAGGGGATTGAAGCAGGGCGTCTCTTGAGCGCTCCGTGAGCCCGCACCAAGGCCGGTGCTGATGACTTGCTCGTCTTCAAATGAAAATCGTCGGTCCATGCCAACCGTTGAGCGAATGACGTGAGCAAGTGGGCGGTACGCTGAAGTTCAAACTAAACCCCTACTCTGTTTTGTCTTCTGGAAAAATCTATTTCTGTCAATTGATACTATTGAATAAATTGTATTCTGAAAAAATTTCTGATATTAAAATGTGAGAACATCACTATTCTTAGCAGTTACATTTATCCGAGTACCTTGACACAATATTCAACCTTTGCGTTAGTAATAACCGCTTCCCCTCAATTAAAAAAGTGATAAAAAAAACTGACGCTGTAGTTGAGAAAACTTAATCTTATCATTGCTTACTTGAGAAACATATATCAATTTAATGTATGCAAGCTCCTGGGTATGCCGAATGAGATTGTTCATGTTACAGACACTGATCAATGTATCATGCACGAAAACTACTTGAAACATTAAGTAGAATATTTCCTCTCTTTTTCCGATATCTAAACGGAGCGAAGAGCGACACACCTCTAAACTTACTTTCGCTAACCTTCCTATAAAACCCTGCTCCAAAACCAAGTAATAATTATTACATGATCAACTAGACACCAACTACCCTCCGTGTACAGCGTACGCACAGGTGACCCGCCCTCATGCACTCTGAAAGTAGGGTGTATTATTTTGTGGTCTGTTTTCTGCACAAACCCGCCTGAGTGCTGGTGGATGCAGTTTAGAATAAAAAACAGTAAAATTCACTTTCATGTCCCGTGGGTGATTAGGGATCATAACATGATGGTCATTATGTCGCACTTGGTTTTTACTTTACATTACAATTGATTTGCCTGTGGTTCACGGGCGTAAATCCCGGGGGATTGGGGGTATATATCACCCCCCCCTACACACACACTTTCTTGTGATGAGCAAAAAGTTATAGCGGAGTGTGAAGAATTTTGGGACTTCGCAAAGACTAGCATGTCTGCAATATCACTAAAAGGGGAACACACCTTTTAAAAGCCATTAATGGTGTCATTCTGATATAAGATTTTGCACAGATGTACATGTTCGTAATGAACATCGCCCCTTACGTAGTCTGCATGGTGTTGCGCCCCCTCCAAATTTCCATGGCCGGGTAAAAGTCCTCCCCGCACCTTTCTAAACCCCCACCCCCATTTCCAGCACAGATACGCCCCTGCTGTAGCTCCATAACGCCACAGTCGCATTATCCCACAGCTTTCCATGGCTTGTTTATTAACTCTCATCTTGTGTTTATCCCGTCATCCTCACTGTCACCCTGTCTGACTAGTTTTGGTACCACTCGAGAATCAGCGTGTGACTACACGCAAAGCTTTATTTGGTGATTTAAAAAATTACAAAATCAGGTAGGGACAAGATGGACGAAGGAACCAAAAACTCGTCAATTCTTTCCATCAGATTTGATTCAATGTGTGAAGTGTATCGTATGATAAATCTTTCCCTCGGAGTTTAATTTTCAAGAAGGGAAGAACAACCTAGCCGGAATGCAGCCTCATGGGTATGCTCTCAAAACAAAATGACGGGACTGGTCGCCAACAGAATTAGTTAATTTTTTTCTTTCTCTTTTGTATCAGTGAGTGGATGAGATTTGATGTCAGAAAAATAGGACTGAGAAATTTTCTGTAAAACGATGTCTGTAAACTGACTTGGGACGCAGCTTTATCCATTAATCTCCGTTGTTATATAATACCTCTTCATAATATTGAGAGTGTCCAGGCCTAGGAGGGGGCGTAGGCCTGGGAACTTTCTTGGGGACAGGTATTGCTGTGTTTTGGTACATTGCGGGTTCACCCAGACCGACCTGGTGGTGGCGTCTCGGCCGTTTGGGAGGGGGATCAGGCTTTTTCTTGGCTGTCTGTGCATCAGCATTCTCGTACTCCTCAGATCGAACCTTGCCAGGCTTGGCTTTGCAGAAGGGCTTGTGTAGCTTAGGCGGGCTAAGTGCCCTCTTGGTTGTCGGCTCGCCAATATTGCCGTAGCTGGGAGGTTCAGCTGGATCTACCTCATCGTAGGGGTGCCAGGATGGTGGCCTTGGTTGTGGTCTGGACGTATCCTGGGCGGTCGCAACTGCTACGTTGTCGTACCCGTCGTAATCGACGTGATCATTGTTACAGGGCCCCCTCTTGAAGACGACCGATGGCTCCCCGGTCGTCTTGCTGGCTGTCAGCTGGTTGTTGGCCGTGGAGCTCTCCGAGGGTTTCTCCTTCCTGCGACACAGCAGGTTGCTCACGCCTTCCCGGACCTTCCTCTGCCGCACGACAAAGAGCAGGAAGACGAAGAGGCCCTGCAGGGAATTGAAGATGCAGAACAGGACCTGGAAGGCGAAGCTGGCGGTACCCCAGACGGAGAGCAGGCCAAAGACCCAGGTCAACCCAAGCAGCACAGCGACGGAAGCCATGGTCCTCAGGCGACTGCCGACAGTGTCCCGGTTGCTCTTGTCCGGGGTGCCCATGACTTCGCACGTCAATTTTCGAAAAACGAGTACAAAGACGACGAGGTTGAAAAGGAACACAAGGCCGATGATGAGAAGCTGGCCAAAGTAGAAGGCGTCTCCCGACTTCAGAAAACATCTACAGGATAATCACAATGATTTAATTGCTGTGATTGGGAATTTGAAATGTTTTCACATTATGAGCTCATAGAAGGCACTATGCTAAGGGCACGCTTGAACAACGACCCTTTGTCAACCGCTTGTCGGTTTCGCCTGGTACCCGCTATGTATTTGTATACAAATTATTGGTCGTCGCTGGAACTGGCCCTGTTTTGTGAGGACTTCTTATAGGGTCGACACAATGGTCGACAGTGTGCATTTCGTTGTTTGACGCATACCTTGCCTCGTTTATCGTGTACTGGGTAAGTGCTCTTCCGAACCTCCCCAACTCGGATGCAAGAGCTAATAACTGGCACATGGCCCTTAATACATCGCAGTGTGGTATTTTGCATATACCACACGCTTCTCTTGCAGAGATTTAAGCAGGGTGTTTGAAACGAAAAGACTCGAATCGTCGGTCTGAAAAAGAAGGTTGTCTGTCTGACGGTAGAAACTACTCAAGACTCCCTGTCAATGACCAGATTCTTCTGTTGGAGTCTTAGTCAGAGGATAAGACCTAACTTCATTAAGAAGAAAATCCATTTTAGCAAGCGAGCAAAATGCGAGTCTTTTCTATCTTCCTTCAAAGAAATTTGTAGGCCCTACCTATCTTCGCCGTCGTAGACGGTGTAATCAGCCGCCAATATGATTGTGATGAGAACCGCCGGAAGCCCTGGAAAACCATTTGCAAAATTATTTGGTTGAGCGGATTTAGCATAAACATTCAGAAGATTGAGAGTACTTTGATCAGAAATCTTGTCATTTAGAGCAGCGTCCATTGGGATTCTTGGTGAACACTATCAGCCACAGGAATTTGTGTCGGTCGGAAACGTAATGAGGCTATTCTCATGGTAGGGTTAAGAGGAGCATGGCTGTATTTAATAGGGATTCCAAGTCGCTTCAGGGTTTAACATGGGTCATATGTCCACACTAAAATAATGCATATCAGCACACTACAGATGTCGTGGGCGAAGCTCCCCTCCTACTAACGCCCGATTTTCAAGGTGGCAAGAGTTACCACGGGAGCAGTTGCCCCCCCCACACACACACACACACAATCTCCAGCTTTGCTACTGGTGTCGTTCGTAATTTTAGTCAATTCCAAATAACTTAGTTGCCACTGGCATCAAGACCAAAGTCCATGATAAGTGGCTGTAGCCACCAGAAGCGACTTTCATAGGTACCATGTATTATTCCTACCCGTAATCTGCTCATTTGGACCCGGTCTTAGGGTTATCACTCAGATGCATTCTTATCGACTATAAAAAGCGGTGCCGGAGCTTTTCAACATCACTCACCCCAGGCGACAAGAGATGCCTTGACCATGAAGTGCGACACATCAGAATTGAAGACCTTGACCAGCTTCAGATACAGGTTAGCGGCCTCCACACCCATCCAGGCCATGGAGGTCAGGGCGAAGTAGTGCATCAAGACGGCAGCGGCGATGCAGCCGCTGCGGGACGACGTCTGCTCGATGCCGGCCAGGAAGACCAGGTAGAGGAGGAGCAAGGAGCAGCAAAAACTGATGAGGATGCGGCTGGCTTCCAAAGTTCTTAGAGACCTAGTGGAGACAAATTTTTACAACTTAAAATAGCCTCTTTTCTTATAAAATGTGTGGTAGTATTGCAAACCATGGACTCAATTTCGGGCTGTTAGGTTTACTATGCTTATAGGTCCTTGGGCAAGGTACTCTGTCCCTACACGCGAATGCTTTTCTCCACCAATGACTGCTTTTCACTCATCAATACTACACTGACCAAGTTATATTTTTACCTTATAGCAAGGTACAGGGCGACGGTGATGCTGAGGCCCGCAATGGAGACGCCGCATCCGATCTTGCTGAAAATGTCCAAGGCGAAGTTGGGGTGCTTTAGAGGGCCGTGGACCTTCTGAATTCAGATTAAAGACAGCGCGACAAAACTTGATTAATTAATGCGCCCTCCAGCTACGGACCGTTCAAAGGCACACTCTCACCGATAACAAATTCAAGAGGATGGCTAATGATCCAGGTTCGAGAGACGACATTGTGCCGACTACTGGCTGACTTTGCCTGGTACCCCGGGATGCCAGAGGAAATCGACCGGTGGTCAACAAATGGTTGTCTCTCGAACTTGAACCCCTGCTGTTGTGTTCCCTGTGCTTACACTCGCCCAAATTGACCCCAAGTGGTTTGAGGAGCGTCTTGTGTTGCATGTTTTCGTCCCAGTTGCATGTCGTCTACCTCTCTTCAGATAGTGCCGGTTCTGTTGGGTCGGCTCACTGGTGACGTCGAACAACAAAGCTTAGCTATCAGTGGATAAAAGTAATCTTACCACGAGCACCGCGAAGTTAGTGGCGTGACTGCAGTGGCAGACAATTCTCCCACCGACCTGGGAGCTCTCTTGGCAGCCTTCCGACGACCATTCTCCGATGCCGGCCCGAAGGTTGAAGTCCCAGAAAACACACTCCGTCACTGCAGTCTGATGTTCAGAAACACTAATCAGCTGTCAAAGAAGAAAAAGAAGATAGAAAAGTTGATAGGTCCTGTGTAAATTGGTCCATCTTATCAATCATGATCTAATACTTTCCCTGGTTTTTTTTTCTTCTGTTAGGTCTCACCTTGTCTGGGAGGAAAGCAATGACTACTGGTGACTCCGGCGGCAGATCTCTGACCTGTGTGCCCTCCACGGTGGCAGCTATGACTCGACTGTCAATAAAGCTGGTCGGGAGAGATGTTGGGGCGCCGTTAGTCCGCTGGGAGCGAAAGAACTTGCTGGTCTGGTACACGACGAAACTCACGGGTATGGAATCACCTGTTCAGTATCAAGCTGGCCGGTGAACTTTGAGGTTAACTCGAGCTGTTCCTGTTGATCATCCCCTGGTATACCCAGAAAAGGGGGCGGATTCTCTTTTCGCCCGCCCATCCACCCCTCTCCTTTCTCTGACCCTTTAACTGTGTTTTCTGTTTCATTCCTCATTTTGTCAGATGAGAATTATTTCAATGCACTATTTTTTAACACCTAGTTCGTACGGAAACTCCCCGAAATGTTACAGTGAGTGCTTAAAGCGATGTCGCGGCAACAATATGAAGGCGCATGGAACGTGGAATTCTTGGTCTCTTAGCAAACTGTAGAGTTAAAGAGGCCTCGATAGCTAGGACTGAATTTTGGTGCTTACCTCCGGAGGATTTGTTGACAACTTCTGGAGGAAGATGAATCGACGCCGATGCCTCTTCCACGGGGACGTCTTCAGAGCCGTAGATGCCTACTGAGTTTTCGTCAAAGGTACCGGTACGGTTCTCCCCCTCAAATACCGCGAACCCCACCCCGTGGGCCAAGGCGCTGGGGTGAAAGGCTCTCGCCTCGACTGCGAGACCTCTGGTCATGTGGCTGATGTTCTGCCCGGTTGCAAGAGCATTGGAGATTTGCCTGCCCAGAGACTTGACAATGCGAGACGAAGAGTTTGCGACCTCGTCCGCCGCGCCGAGGCGGTCGTCATCCATTTGAAGCAGGTTGCTGACGATCTTGACAACGTTTTCCGTTACCTGCGGAACGTTTTACAAAATTTCCACTTATTTCCTTTTCCACGCCAACTGATTGTCATCTTTTGCAGTGGTGGTTACTGATAGAGAACTGACCCAAAAGCAAACCATGAAACAGGGGACTTTCAAGCGACACTTACACAGTCTAGAGACAGACTTACCTCTGGAGAGGTGTCTTGAACGCCGACGATGCTGTCCAGTAAATCTGCCGCAAAGGCCACGGCACTTTCGTCAATGGAAGGCGTGTCGCTGGTGATAGACGCAAGCGACTGGGAAACCTGTCCCACGTTCTCTGCCGTCACTGAAATCTACCATAGAGCAAAAAACACTTACTTACAGATTGCAAAAATGGTTTAAAGCGCCACAAGTGTTGATGCACACAATATACGACATGTGTATAGGGGTCAGGGGTTAAAGGGGGCACTTGCCCCCCCCCCATGTAAAAACATAAAAGGAAAAAGGGGATGTGTGAAAATTTTTAAAAAATGAAGAGATGAAAAGCTTGAATATCTCTAATTTGTTTAGCAGTTCGCAGCTTATGAATGCTTTGCCCCTCTGGAAAAAAGTGGTTTGCCTCCCTGGAAATATTCCTGACGACCCGTATGGACATAGCTCAATTGTGCGCTCATCAAAGACGATTGCCAACCAGTGTGACATGACCATCTTTTCCATACCTCTCGCGATAAATTAAGCTTTGTTTAAACATATCTTTACAGTCTCCTTGCAAATCAATTTGGAATAAGCACTGTTGGAGCACCGGGCAGTGCTTCCAAGTAGATTAAAAGCACTAGTCCACTCTCACAGGACGCGAACCCAAAACATCCATGAATCTTGTGGATTAAATCCGATTTTGCTGCATGGAATACCTGTGCAGTTACGCCTGCTTTTTTTAACTGACGACCGTGTGGCACTGGTCCAATCTGGTGTGCTTCAATTTCAGGTGTTACGCACCTGTGTCATCTCGTTTGTTTCAAGTTCTGCCTGGTTTGTGACGGTTAGCATGACGACGAAGTCGCGGTCCTGAACTCCAGCGGGGACTGTCGGCTTGATTTGGTACGCCGTGGCGTAACATTCGCCGAGCGGAATACACACGCAACCTTGCGGACTGCAGCCCTGATTAAATAGAATAAAACTGCAAACGGTGGAATTATTGAGAGAGATGAGTATTTGAAATATATTTGTGATTATAGCTGTTAACAATGCCAACGACCTCAGCCCAACCGTTATTACTATTAGAGGCTTTGCGTGGTGGCCATCTTGCAGGGTAGTTCTTTTACTTTACAGGGTAACCTCTTTCCTACATACCACGCAGATGGCAGCAATGAAAACCCTCTATTCTCGCTGTAGCAAATCTCCTACCCCCACTCCAGCTTAACCCAAACCCTAGCCCTAAACTCTACAATAATCGTCATCCTAACTTTGCTGTATTCATGAAGAACTAGCAGCGGCAGTGAATTTTCACCTTTTTTCTACATTAAGACTCGCTTTTGTTTCATCTTCATTATCAAGGAAAAGCCTTTGGTATCGTGGAACATTTGTCGATTTGCATCCAAGACCCGTGTAATGTTTTTGCCCGTGTACACAATATTTGCTATTTGAACGCTTCAAATATCCAGCCTCTTCTGCCAAAAACCGTCAAGAACAATTCAGTTAGATTGTTCCGTGATCGGTTTCATGTTCATAACACGAACATCAAAGGCTTTTTTATCACTGTAATGAAAACCACCTTCAGAAAACGTAGGTGCCGGGTGGCAGATGCTGTTTGGGAAAATTAAAGAAAAATGGAGATAACACCAGATATTTTCTTACCTCGGTGGTGTTGACACGAGTCACTGTCTCCGTTCCAATCTCCAAGACTGTTTGGGTTTCATTCTCAAGAAGCCGCCATTTTATGGTCTTGAGACCGCTGTGCTCGTCGACGGTCCGAAATTTCACACTGCGTGTAGGCAAAAAGATCCGTTTGCTGCACGTATATCGTGGCACTGGGGTTTCAGTTTGATAATTAGAAACAGCAAAAGTCGTTCAACTGAAATTATTTCGATAGTCGGCAATCGATGAATCAATTTTAAGTGACTCTGTTACAAGAGACCTTTTTCCACTGGGCTTTTGCGCAACATCGTTTCGGTAAGGTTGAAGATGAGTTAAAACAAGTATTTATTGTCAAGGACGACACAAGTGTATAACGTAAAGCCTGGTTTCCATCTCGACGTGAGAAACGCAGAGAGCAACGCAATCAAGATGCAAACTGTAACACAGACATATGGATACATGTCCGACGGTGATTTCGTCGACAACGCAGACAAACGCAAACTAGCCAGCGAACGATCGGCAAAGTTGAGCAAGGTTCAACTTTGCCGACTGTCTGCGTCGAGTAGCAGTGGTATCCCCATACAAACATGCACGCTGGTATGACTGGCGTGTAATGATGTACCTCTTGCTTTTCTCTTTAATGTTTAATATCACATCCCAGTGATCAACTAAATAGCTAACCGTAAATTAAATGCATGAAACTGGAATACAGGTGTGGCATCACGGAGTTTCGAATGCCATTTTGTTTCAATATTTGGGGTGGAATGACGTCGTGAACCGTCGCTTTCGTTCGTGTCTGCGTCTGCACGTCTTGCGTGCCGTTTGCGTCAAAAACGACGGTATGGTAACCAGGCTTAAGTCAACTTTAGCGGAAGTGAATGTGTTCATCAGTACCTTATGTCATGCAGGTCGACAATCATCTCTATACAGTCGACAACAGGTGGGGAAGAGTCGACCCGGAACAGTAGGCTGTCCCTCGCAGAGTGACCAGCCAGGTCCCTTGCCTCCACCCAAAACCGAACGGAAGAGCCATCTCGTGCCAGCGGGTTATAGAGATGATGTGTGTCTGTGCCCTTCGTGAGCCAATTGTCAGAGTTTTCATTGTTCGGATCGACAATAGCGCTGCCGCTGCGGTCAGTTTTGACCAATACCCGGAACTCCGCCACTCCTCCGGCGTTGGGGATGGCGTCACGGCCACGCTGACCGAAGTTTTGGTCATAATCTGCCAACAGGAATTATCAGCAATGAAACATGGGAAACCTCAGAGACTTTAAACTATTAAATTAATGCTACAGCTTTACGAGTCAACCCTTACGTTTCCTTAATACAGATTTCAACTGATTTAAACATTCAAATACAATGCAACACTTCTGATTCTCTGTTTTTATGCAACTATAATGACAAAGCACTGACATAGCTTGCTAGCTTGTCCTTTCACAGGGAATAAAACTCCAGCATGAAGAAAAAAGGAAAAGGGGGCAACCTGCCAGTGGAGCCGCCACGCACGCAGTCATTGGCCACATCCGTTTTCCATAAGGCCCCATGATGCTGCCTGGCGCAGTCAAAGGATTCCGTCACACCAGGCCTAAAGGCCGTTTCATAATTCAGGCGAATTCGAAAGCGAAGCGAAGCTGACGTCAAGAAAAATTTGCAGCAAAATTTCGCTCGAGTTGAAATGTATTCAACTTGTGCGAATTCGCAATGCGAATAGTTCATCTGACGTCACAAATTCGCGTTCGTTTTTGCTTTCGCGTGAAGTAGGAACCGGTCTTTTTTTTTACCTACTCACCGGCGTCTAAGAGCCCGTTCGCAAAGGGACCAATGGGCTTGAGGAGGCCTTTGTTGACGTGTCTCTTATTGAGGAAATGGCCCTGCCAGTCGAGTCGCAGCCACTTGTCCCTCTTGGGCGACGAGTCTGGAAAGGACACCCATCCGTATTCTGTCGCTCCATCGTGTGACAGAACGCGCATGGGGGCGGTGGGGTCGATGGTAACGTCGTTCCGGTTGTCGTCGAAGAAGACGAAGCGACGGCTACGCCGAACGTTGTCGACGTTGTCGATCACAGAGAGCACGACGGAATAAACACCTGGGTGAGATACAGTGTATAAACCACAGTTGCAAAAATGCAGCTACTAAACATTTCTGGATGTTGTTGATAGGATCGTCATAAGAACGCTCAGTGGAATCCATAGGGTTTAGACACCGGTCCAGTCCACCTAGTCAGTACGACACGTTTGTCATCTGTGTAATGTCATGTACGAGTCGACGTTAACAATGGGAAAGATTTGCCAGAAACTTCCATGGTCGTAACTGGGGTGTAGTTGCTTAACTTTTTTACACCAGATTGGCCTACAGGAACTCTGCAGTAATTCGCAGTGCAGATTATAACGTAGCCTGTGCCCAGAAATTACAAGTATGGGTTTAGTATCGCTTTCCAAAGCTCGTGTTCTGGTTCAAAGAGCTTATTACATAGGCCCTACCAGCACTTGGAAGGGTGACCGTCTGGCCACTCGCCGTCACGCCCTCGTAGACCGGAGGACCGTGGGAAACTTCGGTCATCTCGTTGCCACTGGTACCTGACATTTGCCGCACTTGCAGGTGGTACTCCTTGATACCAGCGCGGCTGTCTATCCAGCCGAACCACCTTACTGTTATCACGGGCTTTTAAGGTGATCGTGAAAAGACAAACATGTGACGCGGTAAGAAAATTCCCCCAAAAGCCAGTCGGAAACCACTCAGATCCCAAAGCTCCAAAACTCAACATAATTATGAGCACCGTAAAACGTGAAAATAGGGCCATGAACCACGTGAAAACCATATGAAAGAGACGCATTACCCTGATGAAATAAGGCCAGAAGAAAAGTTTACAGGAGAGTTGTAATCGAATCACGTGCTGTCATTAATAAGGGAATAAATGTGTGCAGTGCGCCAGTCTTACGCGTGCGTTTAAGACCGGCTCAGGAGAATGGACGCTGTTCATTAGTAATGCCCTCTTCTGCCGCTCGGGCATTATCAGCGTTTATTCTACTGAGCAAGGTCTTAAACGGCCAAGCACATATTTTTTCCCATTCATAAACACCTTTGTATTCAGAGAGTCAAAAGGATTATGGAGGATTTCCAACGATTTGTTTTACAATTTTACTTCCATTTTCATTGTCGCTTCTCAGCGGGCATTATGAACAAATTTTGTTAATTCACGGTCACGTGACGCGTTTAAACCAATAGGAATAGAAAAACTGTTCCGGGCATTTATGAATAAGAGATAAATAGCGATAAGGAAATGTCTTTGTCGCAGAATGAACGGATACCTTGTGATTCGAACCAATCGTTTCCATTGGCTCTACCTATCAGTATTTGATAGCAACAGGAGTAGTTGGACTCAGGGAACTTGATTTAAGCCAGTACCTGAGTTATGACATTGCTCCCCACGGACAGCATTGAGTTTTGACATGACGTGGTGCCCACACAATGGGACGGCCCGTCCAAGGCAAAGGTAAACGTTGCAGTCGCCGATGTTTGCTTGCTGGTGTAGTACCGTGTGAGGACATTGGAGTTGCTGTCTCTGTTGAATAGCTTCATGTGTCCGCCGGCAGAGGAGTACACGGTGTACGTCAGACTGAAAAACATAATACCAACTACGCCCGGTTATGATACCTGTGGGTAACCGGTTATGATGATGTTAACCGGTTATGATGATGTTAACCGGTTATGATGATGTTAACCGGTTATGATGATGTTACCTGATGTTAACCTGATGGGCACTCTTGGCTCAGCTGATAACGTACTACTGATCAAAATTGTTTTATGTGTTAGGCGAGTGAAGTGTTGGGAAAAATACCGCTTTGTGTTGATTTCACAAAGGTAGAGAAGGCAAAAGGCTCCTTGTAACTAAGAGTAGAATGGCAAGCAGATGGAATAAAACAAATTAAACCGTAAGCCTACTCACCGATTGTGAAGAGTATATATAAATGAAAAATGCGGGAAAAAGACATACACCTCTCCACTTCGGGTTAGTAAAAAATACTCCAACTGGAATTTTTCATAACATTTTGGGAAGCCAACATTAATGTTTCTAGAAGTGATGTTTTCAATAACTATCATCGAAGGTTAGATTATGATAAGGATTACTGTCGGTTCCACTAATAGATCAAGCTCTATGTACGAATCCTGCACGGAGTCGGCCTTCCCGAAATATTTTCCTGTTGATCTGGGTTTTTTTCTTAAAGAATGTAAAAGAGGTTTTTACGCACACGTCGCCTGTGCTTGGTGACCAGGAGGTGTAGTCGATGTCGAAAGTGGCCTCACAGACGACAAGGTTTGAGGCAGGGTTACTGCGCGAGCCGGCGGACGAGCAACTACGGAAGCCGATGTAATGTATTCCACCCCGGGCCTCTATCAAAAGACAAGTCGGGGGAATCAGATAGGCTTAAAATCACCTGAGATAAAATGCCAAATACGATTGATTTTCTCACCAAGACACAGTAACCACGAGCTTGTCATGCACGACGGACGTCTTTGTGCACGGACCTCGATCTGGACCAAGAGAGGGCGCTATTTTCTGAACAACTAAGGCCTCTTTGATCGAAACCAAACATCGCTGGTTCACGAAACACTAGGTAATGCACGAGTCACCAACAAATTGAACACTCCCGACCAACGCAGCTCTTTTCAACCGATCAACCGATAAGTGGTGCTTTTGGTCGTCATTAAACAGCCGAGAAGAGGGGCTAACATCCGTCCCCAGGCTGTGAAAAGAAAAATATCCTAGCTCCCTGTTTAAGGTAAACTGAAAACCTTGAGAAGAGTCCGAACAAAACACTTACTGTTAACAGACACCGAAACCCTAGCAGAAACAATGCCCAAGCTGACGCTGTGGATATACGGAGGGCGCTGCGGGAGTCCAGTCGGTTGGTACGAGGTTTTCCACAGAACCTGGATGGATGTGAAGTTAGTCACGTCGGTGTACACCGTGGTCGTGCTCCCCTGCGCGGCGGGTGATTCAAGGTTTGTACTTCCCTTGATGAGGGTTCCGCGGTACTCCGATATGGTCGGTCTCTGGCTCCTCGACACTGACAGAAAAATGTCCATATGAAGTAAGTAGACCTGCTCTGTTTCTAACTAGACATCCTTTTCACCCTCTTGCAGGTTGTTTGTCCCGGTTGACCGAATGTGGTCACACGGGATAGGTTAGTGCATGAAAATTGTGAATTGGACGAGCGACGGGACATCGCCCGCGTGTGGATTCCGGAGTATACACCCAACGTTCGGTCGGCAGCGTGTCTTTATTACACAACTGTATGGGGATATACACGAAACACCTTCCAATGAGAAATGGGTTTTATTGTCGGCGCAAGATGGCTAACTTTACCGTGAATACACGTAAAACGTTGTAATCTAATGGGCGCCATTTGAGAAAGCGATATGCCTGCGCAATGCACATTAATGCAAAGGCGCAGGCGCCGCAGCAGGCACGTGCACCTGGTGAGCCTGCGCCGAAGCATTACCGTAAACTGCGCAGGCGTATCGCTTGCTCAAATGCCGTCCATGGTAATTACTCCTTTTGGGCAGAGTTATCCATCTTGCGCCTTCGGCGCTATACGATCTTTGCTTACGACCAATAGGCCTACATAGTACGACTTTAACGGAAAACAGAGAAAACTTTTTGTTCACGCTGCACATATATCTGTTTAACACAATGTTGACTCACGTGTCCTGCAGTCAGTTCCCGAAAATCCACTCCTGCAGGTACACAAGCCGTTTGTACAGGTTCCTGGGTAACAGGCGTTACTGCCAGTCCTCCACGAACATTGCTCTGAAAATAAGAAGAGTTTTATTCCTAAATGAGATATACATCGTTCACGTATTGAGCAATGATTTCTCAAATATTTAAGAACAAAATGAGTGTCCGGACTCCCTTCATGTTATTTCGCACTGCTCCGACTCACTGACTTTTTTTAACAAAGTTAAATCTCTAGAAACTGGCGGGAGGCAACCACCGGAGGTGAAATTCAGGGAAGGGCCAAAATGGCGCCTATCTCGTTTTGGCAGTAAATTAGATTACCAGATGATGAGCAAGATTAATACAGCAATGTCATTTGACGTTTGGAGTTTAAACTTTTAAAGCCATGGGAAGTTGGAACCTAGTCAGCCTATGCGTTTTTTATCCTGTTCGTATTGGTGTGACGTCGCTTCAGTTCAAACCACGCCCACTGCACATGGAGCTACATGGAACTTTGGAACCAGTCCAGTCAGTGTATGACTGGGCCCGCCACTAGTTGCAAGAGAAACAAAGTGAATTTTTTCTGAAATTTGGAGTCTAGTGAGTACCTGCCAAAACGTTCCCTTAAATATGAGTGGAACATGTCTTTTCAGTGCAGTGAAAATGCAGTGAATCTGACTAAGTTACGCGAAAACGTTGCTAACTCAAAATCCCCCCCAAAACGTAATGGTATGGTCCAAACATGGTGGCCGTTTCCGAGATGCGTAGCGAGAGGATTTTCCCTATCCACTCATTAAATCTCCTGTGTTTCAGTGTATAATTTCGTCTTTCCCGTAACTATTAGTTAGTCGACTAAGAATAGAGTGTTTGCACTTTCAATGAAGTAAAGTGTGATTATTGGGCATGACCGAACAGCTGCAGTGAATTTTCTACCAGTACGCCGTAATCAGCCAATCCTATGAAATTACAAAAAAAGATGTCACCTCCTTTAAGCGCAACGACCATTCAGGGGTCTTTCACTCTTTAAAATGATAATGAAAAAATGGGGGCATACTTATGCACCGTCGTTGGTCCGCTGACAACTTGTAGGCGGAGCCAAGGCGGGTGCCATAGTCTCCGGCGCATTCACCGCATCTCTGATTAGTTGAGGAGCTGCAGTACACGTCCAGGCAGTTGGAGATGAAAGAACAACCTGGGGGCAAGCAGCGAATCAGGAAGCGTGTACTTGCAATTTTTACTACGCTACTTTTGGTTGTAGAGGAGATATAAATCCATCAAACAAGGGTCAGTTCTGCCACCACAGGCCCGCTGATATAAGGTGCAGCCAATTCTGGCAGAGATTTTGCGTCTGTTGAATTGACATGAAAATGGCCGTGGTCCACGACGGCATGGTGAACTGTTACTTCAACACCACGTCGTAGCTTCTCTGTAGACTTTGTACCACTCGTCACTGTGGACCATCGTTTGAGTAAAAGGTATGTACCCTCCAAAAAGGGCGTAATATCCTTTGCTCGAACTACTTGGCACAACGCAAACACTAATTACATGTGATCTAAGTAAGGGGAAAGTCCAATTACTTTAAACTTGAAATGATAATTCCATTTTCCTTTAGTTATTAATATGGTTCAAGGTCCTCATCTAGCTTACCTCAAAATGAACTTACAGAGTAAATTCTGGTCCATCTTTCTAATTGAGTTCGTTAGTATTGCCCTGACAATGATAATTACCATGCTTTACTCGGTACTTACTGCTACACCGCGGTGAGTAGAACCCTCGGTTGCAGTTGCTGCAGTAGTCGGGTCTTGTGCAGCGCCCCCCGTTGGTGCAGGATGGAGAACAAATGGCTGCAGGTCAAGTACAAAAAAGCCCAGACGATTTTCAGGTCTATATGTCAGCAAGTACTTTTCAGCTGAACTGATTGAGTGATCTATTTACCTAACTTTGCAAAACAAGCGTAACAGTTCTTGTTCAAGAATGTAGTAATTACAAGTGTTTCAGTTAACTATGATAAATAAGACGAGTGCATTTTAGTCTTGGCTCCAGGGCGTCTGTATTTTTTGTCCACCCTTGTCCTGTTGCTGGGGCCTGCACGTCTCCTTGAACGTTAACTTCTTCGATTCCACAATGGGTTTGAGTCTGTGAGAGGTCGTGCATCGCCACCGGGTATCGATTCATTTCATCTTGTAAGTTGCGCCCGCCATTGACCATTTTATTTGTTTAGTGAGGCAGTGTTGATTTGATACAGGGGTATGATGCCAAGTATGCACTAGTGACGTCTTGGCCCAAGACTAAATATACATGTACATGTACGATCGTTTGAAACCGACGGACAAGTCTGGTCTCAATCCTTAGTTCAGCGGCAGAAATCACAACTTACGTGTTGAGCAGCCGCTGCTGGTACTTCCACTCCACCCGTCGCAGCATCGATAACACGCCTTGTACCTGTGGATGAGAAAACAGAAATTGGCTGAGGAAGTGTCCAGGAATTCTGATTGGTTCTATGAGATCCTTCATAGGCCAATGAAGGTCGGCATCCTTTGTGCAACAGTTTGAAGTGAATACGGAAGCCTATGAGGAGACCCGTGAAGCAGTGGGCGTTGCAAAATCATGAAAGGGGGGCGTTTTGTTCTTTCGAGGAGGAGATGGCAATACATGATCTGACCATATAGAGCAAGGAAAGCTCTTTGATCTGAGAGACACAATATGGTGGTGTTGCCGGTGGTTTCTTGATCTTGATCTTGAGAGCCAGTCACGTGGCATTCGCTATGTTTGACATCTTGCTTTCCGTGGCCAATGGAACTATGCCTGTAGCAACTGAACATGTATGCATGTAGGGGCTGAAGAACATGTCGACCATTATCGCTGGGTATATACAAATGCATACAGGTGTGCACGTTGCACGGGGCGCGCACTGCGGAGAGCTACACTCCCGGGCAAATCCCGTTGGGTCCCGGCCCCCCTCTCAATGTTGGGTGTCGATGCGCGGCCTGCGCTCCAGCTCGAGATGACAACATTGAGCGAGGGATTGGGGGACCTGGAACGGGTAACTAGGCCTATACTGAGTCTATTGATACAAGTCCCAACAATTTTGGCCAAAACAACATTTTTGCCAAACAAGTATCTCCACATTCACGAGCGCAACTGTGATGCTATTCCGGAGAGAAAGCCTCAATGTAACACTGGACTGCAAAAAAGTTACTGATGATAAAATGCAAGTATCAAAGCATTGATGTATTCACGTCAACAATTCACACAACTGAAAATACGACAACTTAAGGGTGTACAATGTTGAAAATGAATTATAATATGACAGGAAATTAAAGTGCTTGTTCAACCACATCTTTATAGGGAAGGAATTCGCGGTAAAGAGGTTAATTTCACAGGAAAATGCGTCTGAAGAGCTACATACCACACATCAGATTCATCACACAACACGTTATTCAGCAGAACTATTGGGTTCCTGATATGGCTGTCATTCTAGCTCGTAAAGGAAACGAGAGAACCCCCCCCCATGGCGTGTTATTCACATAATACTTTTAAAGAGTTCGGACACGTAGACAGGTGTATATAGACGTGATCCAGGACTAGCCCATATTGATAAGTGTTCATTTAAAAATAATAAAGAGAGCTGTCAAGGAGAAATTTGATGTTTGTTTGTGTAAATTTATATTGTAGCATTTTTAACCACTCAGTCTTTACACAGCAACATTATGAGCAGGAAAGGTTAATGAATTTGTTATCTCCTTAATATGAACAACGAAAAGCATTATCTGTGAAATGGCCGAGTGGTTAAGCTCGCGGTTATCAGATCGTTAGAAGGTGGGTTCGAATCCCAGGGGGTGCCTTTTTTATTTTTCCAACGCTTGCTGTCATTTAGTAGCTATAAGAGACTGTAATTTACCCCGTCAAATACCAGCAGTACCTT